AAGGATGGTGGAGCAATTTTAGCGATTAGGTTGACTAACATTTTAGCTAAGATCTGGGAATTAGACTTTATCCCATCTGACTGGTCGCAATCACTTATCGTCCCAATATATAAGAAAGGGTCAAAATCATCCTGTGACAACCACAGAGGGATAAGTTTAACAAACATAGTATCTAAAATACTAGCCTCGATAATTATCAGACGCCTAACTAAGACTCGTGAACTACAAACTCGAGAGAACCAAGCTGGCTTCAGACCTGGTCGTGGCTGCATCGACCACATATTCACCATTCGTCAGGTTCTAGAACACAGGCATACCTATCGGCGTCCGACGATGGTGGTCTTTCTTGACTTAAAAGCAGCGTTTGACTCTGTAGACCGCGAGACTCTGTGGCAGTGTCTGTCATTGAAAGGCGTACCTCAGAAGTACATAAACCTTGTGAAGGCTCTTTACTCGAACACTACTAGTCGAGTCAGAGCTTATGGCGAACTGTCATCTACTTTTGCAACTTCAAGTGGTGTCCGTCAAGGCTGTCCACTTTCTCCATTTTTGTTTAACTTCATCATAGACCTATTGATGGAAATAACACTCTCGTCGACTGAATTCTCGGGTATTGATCTCCTTCCAGGAGGTCCACTTATCGACTTAGAATACGCAGATGATATAGTCCTGTTTGGTGAAGAGGCTGACAAAATGCAGAGTCTTCTGGTAGCACTGAGCAACAATGCCAGAATGTTTGGAATGCGCTTCTCTCCCTCTAAATGCAAGTTGTTGCTTCAGGACTGGTCTGCGTCAACACCTGAACTAAGGATAGGGAGTGAAGTAGTTGAACGCGTCGACAACTTCACTTATCTTGGAAGTCTGATCAGCCCTAATGGGTTGGTGTCTGACGAAATCTCAGCACGGATTCGAAAAGCTCGTTTGGCTTTTGCCAACTTACGTCACCTTTGGCGGAGGCGAGATATCCGTCTATCAATAAAAGGACGAGTATACTGCGCGGCAGTCCGTTCTGTCTTACTTTACGGCAGCGAAACATGGCCTTTAAGAGTAGAAGACACCCGTAAGCTACAAGTATTTGACCACAGATGCCTTAGAAATATTGCTGGCATCTGCTGGGATCACCGGGTAAGTAATAGTGAGATTAGACGCAGGGTATTAGGGAATGATGGTAAATCAGTTGATGAGGTTATGAATCTTCATCGACTGAGATGGTTGGGCCACGTATTACGTATGCCTGAACACCGATTACCACGACGTGCAATGCTAACCGGTGTAGGGGATGGTTGGAAGAAAGTTAGGGGCGGCCAAACCAAAACGTGGCATCAGTGCTTGAAGTCACTAACTTCTAGTCTGAGCCATGTTGGTAGATGCAGACTACTTGGTTGGGGTCCGCGTGACTATCGTAACCAATGGTTGGAGACTCTTGGTGACATGGCTCAGAATCGATCACAATGGCGTCGGTGTATACACTCTTTGTCTTCCCTTAAACTAAGAGATTAAAATCACTTCATACGAACTAATTCTTCCTTCCTATACTATATCCTTATTGCAACCTTTGACCTAACCACTCCTATGAATCCGGTGTTCATCTTGTTGTGCTAATGAGGTATGGCAACCTGGACCGATGTACATATGTGCCTGGTCCTACGTTGTAGCTGACTGACTGACTGACTAACCTTAAAGTTTAAATGAAGGTTGTGCTAGACGATTGATAATTAAAAATAACCAATCAACATCAAGGTATACAAAACAAGTTGTGAGCCATATATAGAGAAATTCAAACACTTCAATTCTATCTGAAGCTTGTGCTGATGATGTCGTTCAGAATAACAATGAAAGCCCCACGACTTAACCATCCAGCTCAGAGAACAAAACTTTATCAAATTCTTTTATTACTATTACAACTCCACATTTCATACTTAGAAAATCTGATTACTGTTCATTTAACATGGACTTCATCTTTACTTTCATACTAATTGTTATAGAAATTACTTTGTTCATCTTAATGATTAATTACCTCACCAGTTTTATAAATTCACTCCATATAAGTATATCTAAAACCATAATCAGTCGATTTCTTGATCACAACTCACATACAGATTGATTTTAGACAAATTATTTCATATTTAGATTGATACCATGAATGGATCAATGTTAGATCACTATGGAAAACCTGGAAGCACTGGACGGCCGTTTCGTACTCCTCAGTAGTGAGCATTCATGATCACACCTCGTGAGATTCCAAACCAGGACCTGTAAGTCTCGCGCGAGAACGCTTTACCTCTAGACCACTGAGCCTCCATCCAACGGTGTTAATGTCTAAGGGTCAGATAATAGTCCAATTGGCAGATATGAAGAAAAACGACAAACAACAAAGGTCATAATAATAAACTGAATGATAACCAAGAAAACTTGTATAAGGTAATAATAATAATAATTGATTAGAGTTTAAAGTGCAAAATAGTAATTTAAAAGAAAATATCGATAATAATTAAATAAAAGTGCAGAAAAACAATAAAGACAACTAAAAAAACACTAACACAGAAACATACCTGTTATAACCCAGTGAAGATTAAATTACAGGTAACTTCCGAGGGCTGTTAATAGACTAATATTCTATAAATATTCTTATTGTATAATTGTTCAATAACTACATTATGTGTATTTATATTTCCCTTATTATAAGCTTTATTTTGATCTATAATTTATTATTAAACGATTTACGGTACTTAATCTATGTTCAGTCTATTAATTACTACCTCCCGCGTTCACAGCCACTTTTTGGCTTATTTGTGTACACATGTTATTTTCTATTTTATGGTACGTTGTGGTCTGTCTGATTGATATATAAACCGGGTATGTCTGAAATAAACGATCTGATCTGATTCGATTCGATTCATATTCCAGAAGCTGGTATTGTGTTCTGGATTCAAGTGGAAGGGCTAGGAGGACATAGGACCAATAAACACGCTAAACTGCTCATACCGGTTGAACGTCATTGGTTTAGCATAGTGTGAAGATTGTATAAGTCGTATTCTGATTGATCGATAAGTCACTTGATAGAAAAGTCAGACATCAAGGTCACAACAATACCCATTAAGGGAATTAGGGCCAAGGAAGGATGAGAGGTCGGACACATCGTTTCTGCACGCAAAGTTCAGGCTTGAGTTTGTAGATTGCCAATGCCTCTGCGGTGCATAAAATATTGACTCGGACCCCCTTCGATCCAGTTTTTCTTTGACTCTGTAGACTATATTAAATGAAGAGTCCTTTGCAGCGATATGTCCACAGTTAAGTGCTCCTGTATCGAACTAGTGATTGTTTTACGTTCCCCTTTTAAGAGCCAGGCCGGATAATGTTCCGAGATACGTTTGGATAATGATCGCTTTGTGTGGCCTATGCAACTTGCCCCACATGAGCAAGTAAATTTATATATGCACATTGATGTGGCCCAAAGCAGAAGTTTGTCCTTAACACCTCGCAGAATGGTAGGTCAGTTAGAGAAAACCATTCGGAGCTTAGCTGCGTAAAAGTTTTATTCAATGATTTCGAAATCCGTTTATTTAGGATTTCAGCAGCAGTGTCTCCTTTAAATTCCATATTCATAAATAGAGTTTTCTTCTCTACTGTCGATGCTTTGTCATGCAGTCTGGGTGTCAAGTTGCTATCAACGAATCTCGGTGGATAACCATTTTTGATGAGGGTCTGTCGAAGATGAAATAGTTCCCCACCTGTTGTATCATTGGAACAGATTCGCTTAATCCTCGAGAATAAAGAGTGAATTAAGTTCCTTTTTCTACTTAATGGAACCCAACTATGGAAGTTCGTGTATTTCCCATTCCAAGTAGGTTTTCTGTACATAGATCCCTGTAAAAACCGTCAGGCATTCTTTCTAAACGGACATCAAGAAAATGAAATTCATGGTTTGCCTCTGCATCTAAGGTAAATTGAATTGATGGGTGACAATTATTGAAAATATTCAAGATTTCATTGAGGTCCATGTCTTTTCGACAAATAATGAAAGTATCATCCATATATCTCCTATATGTTAGGTATGCTGAGGAATATACCAATCATTATCATGTTAAGTCTAATGATGTCCTTGGACTCTAAATGGGCATTCCCTATTGACCTTTATTTATTTCACTCGTTAAATATTGTACAGATGTTGTTTTCTATTTTTATGGTACGATGTGGTCTGTTTGGTTGGTATATAAACAGAGTATGTTTGAAATATAACGATTCATAACTCAGAGGCTGTGACTTGCGTTCTAGACTCAACTGGCTGGGCTAGACAGGGAAGCGGGACCAATCGGTACTCTAGGTCGTCCTTACGTGTTTTACGTGTCACTGGTTCGATCGATAAATACGCTGCGCTTCTAACCTGCAGTCCACACGTTACAACACTATATAAATGGAATCTCTCAATTATTGGTCGAAGTACCGAATTTTCTAGATTAGGCATGAAACAATCAGCTAAGAGAGGACCCAATATAGAGCCCATTGCAACTCCTACAATAGAACGAAACAGCCATCCAATGCTTCCAGGTTTTCTATGGTGGTGGTCTAGCTTCAATTAACTCATGATTTCAATCATTGAAATTACTATAATATCCACAAACAATATCCTTCTGATAATAATGAAATAAGTTTATTATAATACACTGAACCTAATAATTTATTATCATGTATTTGTAAGTATATAATTTTAAATTGTACTAATCAACCTTTTAATGTAAATTATGAATTCATTCATTTAAACAATGAATAAATGTATAAAATTTAGGATAAAAAAAAAGTAAATTGAAAACAAAACATATCGTTAATAGTGTAAGGAAATAAATAACTAAATATGGAAGTCTATTTATATACAATTCTGTGTAATAACACTTACTCTTTGACTATACAAGCTATTGAAAAAAACTCATTCAGTCTATTATACACCGACTTAGGTACAGTTATGAATGAAATACATAGAATCCACACCTTACATATATATATCATAATAGAATGTGTAGATAATTTCTGATAAATAATTTTATAAGAAACAATAAATCGATCGATGTATCCCAGTCTATAATTGTAGCATTGTCAGCTATTGTATGCCATACTTTTGGAAATGGTGATGGAATTAAATGTAGTACAGGGACACCTATATTAAGAATATAGAAGAAAAATGTCATATATATATATATATATATATCACTGAAATTAATCTATTGCAGAAATATAGAGTTTTATTATAATTCTTTTATCATAAAGTTAAGAGACATGTCACGGTTGGTTTCAATGAATTAAATTATCTTAGCACTAATGATATTTAAGTTTGACACCTTAATTTACATCTAATTATTTTACATGTTAATGTCACTATTTTCAGAGCTATCGATGTCTCTTTAGACATCAGATATATTCAAAATTAGTTACTAAAACAGTGGTATAGTTGGGAAAGATTATGGGAAACTTTTTGATTTGGAATTCGATCACTATCTACGAATTTCTATTACTCACATAGTTTTCATAAATCGCGTTGAGGACGCTTTCGGGAATCCCTCTAATAGGGATGAATTCCATCATCATCATCATCTATAGTGCAGGTGAAAAGCATTTCTGTTTATCGAAAGGTGAGGAGTAGTATAAAGTGGTTTGCACTACATTACTGTTCAATTTTGAAACTGTTATTCGGTCTGACTCATGTTTCTAAGTAGTATTTAGTAGTAAGTAACAAAGAGCCTGTGCATTGGTTGAACGTCCCACAGTGAATCACCACAACGAGACAAAACTAACCAAATAAGTGACAAAAGAGTCAAAACTTATTGTGAGAAAGACATTAGGATAATGGCTTGGGAACAGGAAATAGAAAGAAGGTATGAATAAATGCAATTTTGAGATTTTAGATATAGAGTAAAATAAAGAGCGCCGATATGAGATTAATTCTAAACCCAAGCTGGAGAATCGTGGACCAATAAGAACTCAAGGTTATTAATGTTAAAACAAATTCTGACTGTTGTTTTTGTCACGTAACTAACCTTTTTCTACAAATGGTATATGATCATCTTCAATCTGGTATCGAACACTATGGCCAAAATAAGGTTGATTATTTTCACCTGATGATTTCAACAGATTAAACGATCTCATTCTCTTTTCTATTAAATACAAACAAAACGGATTAAAGAGAATGTAGGAATCAATGACAAGGTTGAACTTCATGATTTCAAATAAATCGAGCATTGGTAGAAAGTTTTCGTGATGCCGCAATGAGTAGAGAATTGTATTTCTGACATTCTAAGACTTTTTCAAAGTAAATAACCGGGGATGTTAGATCATCAGAACTCACTTAGTAAATACTTTACTTTCGTAATTCTATTTCAAGAATTTGAATTTCTTGTTTTCGTGCCAAAAGAGCTCATTTTCACCTTCATGTCGTATTTCCCACTTGATAGGATCTTAAACACTATTAGTTTATTGTATCTTTTAGTATGCTATTTTGTAACGCTTCCCAAGGACAATTTTATGCTGTATATATACGCTTGATTTGTGCCTGTTGTTGTTGTTCATGCTTTTGGCTGCTTGTCGAATACATTTCCCACTTCCAAACTTGGACTTCTCTCTCAAGTTAGAGGGGCTGGGACGCGTCGGAATAGCTAGCTTATTGGTCTTTGTGTCACAGAATTTTCGTTCTGTTCTCAGGTTAGGTGAACTCGTAATCTCTTCAAACATAGCATATAATCAACACAAGTTTAAATAGTACAAAGGAACTATTTAAACTTATGTTAATTTTATCTCGGCAGCTTACATTAAGTCATGAAATGTCAGAAATACAATTTTCTACTCATTGAGGTATCACGAAAATATATTTATTATTGAATTGAAGAAAAGCTTATATATATGATATCAAATCCATTTAGTGTGAAATCATTTTTATCCCACTAAATGAATTTCTTGTCTGGTTGTTAAGCAATAAATGTAAAAACTATTCTAGTTTACATTCTCAAGTGTTAGTAAAATTCCATAAACGAAATAAACATGCTAGAGGAAGCTACCAGTTAATTTACTAAATAGTTACAATAAGAGAAATTTCATGTGGTTTTGTACGTTGGTTGTAGTGACTAAAATAATAGGATTTCGAATTACGAGTTACAAGTTTGAACCTCACTTCATTTACTTCAGTCTGGGCATTCGGGTAGTTTAACTAGCCATCAATATTCATTAAGTCCGGATTATTAATAGCAGGTATCTAAGTTTGAGGGTGAAGTAGAACTGCTGATTCTATTGGTATGATACTAGCAAGTCGTCTCCCTCAAACAATCAACGCCTGCAATGATGCCATCATTCCACAACAGAAGGGGTTTAGAAAACGTCCTCCTTGACAAAAGTACACATCACCTTAACACATGGATTACGGTTTTTAATGAAAATGCCTCTAAATTATGGAGCTAAGACGTCAAGAACTACGAATGAAAACACCATATGTAATCAGTCTCAAAAAAATTGTCCTTTGAGATCTGGAATCACGCTTAGAGGTCACTACAACCACTACTAATCTAGTTTCCTTTTCAAGTCTCTTAAGAAGTAATATCATTTGACAGTGAGGACGAATGAGAGCCGACAACCACCTTCACACCTCTAACAGTACCTGAAATCACGTTGCTCACAATTAAATCCTTTTATCACTTCTTAACAGTTGTCTATGCAAAATACTTCGTATCCATTGGTCAGATACTATCAGCAACAACCTATTGTGGGAGAGAACAAACCAGACCCCAGTGGAGGAAGAAATCAGGAAGAAGCGATAGAAGTGGATAAGACACACATTGAGGGAAGCACCCAACTGCGCCACAAGGCAAGCCCTCACACGGAATCATCAAGGCCAAAGGAAAAGAGGAAGACCAAATAACACATGATGCCGAAAAATGGAAACAGACAGACAGACAATCGAAGAATGAACAAGCATTGGATAGAACTAGAAAGGGAGGCCCAGGACAGAGTGGGTTGAAGAATGCTGGTCGGCGACCTATCCTACATTGGGAGTAACAGGCGTAAGTAAGTAAGTAATCACTTCTTAATATTCCGCTTTTCCCTATCTTTTTCCTATAACTTAATCTTTATCCCCACAATTCATCCCATACTAAAATAAAGTTTAACTTAAACTCATGTACATAAACTTGTACTTGTTCAGTGAGTTGTATAAAACAAAACATTTTTATGTGTTCATGAATTATACGAAATTCAATATTCATTTTACTAATTAATCATTAAAATGATTATTAACATTACCTTTAATATAGTCGGAGTAGATCTTTATAATTATGTGTTAATGAATCGATTTTATCAATTAACTCATTCATTTTTCCTCATTGCACTATTTTATACATTGTTCATTATTATATCATAAAATTTGTTACGAACTGAACTCTTATAATTATGAAAAAGTTGTTAACTCAGTGGTTGAAAATAAGGGTAAACTAGTTTACGGAGTTATAAGTTCGTATATATATATATATATATATATATATATATATATCTGACAAGGTACTGGTGAAATAAGAGTTAGTAATGTAGTATAAGTTTATTTTAATGGTATTTTTCACTAGAGATTAAACTCAGTTAAAGAATAACAGAAAATCAGAGAACAATAAAGCAACTACTTTTTTCTAAATTGAGATTCTTCAGCGACCACTTCCGAAAAGATCAAAGTAATGATAATAATAATGTAACTTATTTACTGAGTACAGGTTTATGTACCTGACACTTAGCTACATATAGTCATGTGAAATCAAGGGAAATTACCCGACTGCTTAACATAACAATGTTGAATGGGGTTTGAATCAAGGATACTTGTCTCATGGTGAATATAATATCACTGACATAATAAGGAATTGAAGTTCAATGATCCATATTTGCAACTTCAATTAATTAAGGGCACAAAATGATTTTTTACTACTGATAATTACTTAAATAAAATTTGAAACAGAAAATTATGTATTCATAAAGATCTTAGCGATTGAAATCAAACACTTTCAATGTTTCACTAGAGAGTTTAGTCCTGCTTTATTCAAGGTAAATTACTTCATATAACTGACTGAGAACCATATAACTATGATTTTTTCTTGTAGATTTAGAGTTCGATAATTGTGAAACTAAGACTAAACAACCGTTTATTGCTTCCAGATTTTCAATGATCGTGATCTCAATGAAAAATTCAACAATCTCCACAACCCCTATTCATACTGACATTGTGAAATTATTCATTTAAAATAGAACGAAAGTTGTTATCCACAATAAACAATAATAACATTATGGATGCCTTACCCAATTCAATGAGCATATTAAAACTTCCTTTATCCTCATATGGATACTTTGGTATGTGAGGTTGTTTTGCACCAAGTAAATCCAATAAGACAAAAAGATCCTATCGATTTTTTTTCAAAAAAAAAGAAGTACAGAATGAAAACACTATATTATATTATGGTATGAATCAATATGAAATGTGTTGTGACCAAACAATATACTGTTAAGTATTCAAAAGGATTGAGAATGTAGAGTTCAAGTTTTTTTTTCTTAAGAAAATCCATAGTACATTGCAATTGGTTAGTAACATTCTATATGTTCAAAATCTACTTAATTACCTAATAAAAATTGTATAGATTGATGTAAAGATGGATTAATCTCTTATTTAATCACGTTAATAATCAATAAGCTGAGAAACAAATATAGATTTATTTGTGTATTCTTACTGACAAGCACTATTTTCTATTTGGGATATATTAGTCAGATGTACATGGATTTCAATGTTACGGTCTATGGTTCAAACCCGTCACATATCACTTTAAAACACTAGTGTTCTCCGCTAAACCAATAGTTATGATGACCTCCAGCTTGTCCAATGGGTTTACAATTAAAAGAGAAATAATATAATTTAGTTTTAAATGAAGTATGGTTACTTTGTTTTATCGATTCTAAGTATGGTATTTTCATTGATTGTTTAAACTATAAACTGTCGGATTCCTCTTGTTTAAAGACAATGCCTTCATTACAAAAATCAAAGGTTCTCAGTTCACAATTTCTGATAGATTTGTGGGTGAAGGCTGCATGTAAGACCTAAACTGAAATAGAAAAGCCACTCTCTACTGTGTCATTGGCCTTTTAAATATTTCTAGCCGACATCAATTCATGACTAATACTACCTTCAGAAATGAGTTTATTCAAAAGTACATTTTTTTATTTTCACTGAAAATGTTTATAATCTTTTAAATTCTTCCACAGAAATACGTAAGCATGAAATAATAATGCAGATTTCCTGTTGTATAAGGTACATTTTTCCAAATGTTAAACACGAAATATTTTAATGCATTCTTCTGTATGTTAGATAGCTAGATGTAATCAACAGGTAACTATATACCTGAGTCACTTTAGTTAGTACTCATCCACTCTGTGGATTTCGAAACTAATTCACTTGGTGTTACAACTATAGAAATTACTACTGAGCTGTTCTGGATGCTAACGATTTCCTGTAGGATTGAAATATTAGCATATAATTGCATGTAGGCTTTATATATTCAATTACAATTAACTCATTAGAAAGAACCAACATGAGTAAGATTGTCATAATGACCTATTTAATTTCTTTAGGTCACTTAATAAAACAATTTCCATTGATGCAATTGGTTCCCGTTACGAATTTGAAAAAGGCCAAAAAAAAACAATTAAGGCAGAATAATATGAAATTGTGATATTTCATGGTTTCTCATCAATTTCTTACAACCATATATTCATTAAAATGCAACATTGAGGTATGGTATAATGTGACACAATTGACGACAGAAAGAATTAGAATAGCAAACATTATATATATATTAAATTAAGTCCAGAAACAGATAAGATAGACTGTATGATAATTATGGAGGTTGTGAAGAGTTTACAATCATCTGAAAATAGATATAAAGGACATTTAGTTATGGGTTGGTAATTGTCTAGAATTATAAAGTGATAGGATGGGTTAGGTATTGATTGAACATGATTTAAAGAGTTTATGTAAGTTTAGAGAGCTAAGTGAATGAAACAGACGGTAAATGAAAGGACGATTTTAGTGTAAAGTAAGAACTAATTTGGCGAAGATCAAACAGCAAAATAAATATGACCATAATAATAATAATAAATAAATAATAAGTTACCACGGTAATGATGAGTTGATTACTAAAAGTAAGAAAGATTGGCCTAGAGAAGTGTTCTTTTATTGCAGAAGCAATCCTTTTATTTTAAGATTTGATGGGCATATTCCGTCTACTTCAGTTGATTACTAACTGTTTCTCAATAAATAGATCACGTTTATGATTCTTTATTAACACTACTTTGGCAAACCGGAGAAACGCTCCACTTATTTGTGCTGCTCGACAGTATAGTAGTGAGTATCTCCGCCCGTCACGTGAAAGACGGGGGTGTTTTTTACGAAATTGAGAGGACTAAAAGCTAATGACCAGCACTTTAACCGGGCTCGTGGATATGGAGGATCCACTTAGGGGAGTTGGAAAATCCTGATTCCAAACCAATCGTGCACATGGGCTTCAGAATCCTGAGTGAAAAAAATGCCGTATGAACCAATTGTTGGTCACCGGCTACCATGTGACTGCATCTCCTGACTGTTATATCCCGATAATAATAATGAATGGTAATTTTTGGGATCCATTTATGGACCGATACTATGAGTATATTTTTGTCGTATAATTGTTATGTAACTAAACTGTTCATATATCATGTCCCTCTTATTATGAGCTTTATTTTGACCTATGAACTATTATTATATGATTTACCATTCTTGAGTTATAATTTATTTGAACACATAAATATTGGTACAAGAGGGCACCAAATATATATGCGCCACACAAAACTATGAGAATTCGGAGAAAAAAGAAGGTAAGGAGCGTAAAAAAAGAACAATAACGAACAGATTAGTGTAAGGTAGTGTAATAATAATAATAGTAATGATGGGGGAACGGAAAGGTAAAATCAGAAGAATCCTTTCAATTTCGGAAGATACAACCACTTTTTATGAAGGAAGTAAAAGAAGGTTACAGCAGGATCGCCACTGGCTTCTATTCTGAGCCATATCTGATAACGTCTCTAGTCACCGTATTGCACGATCTCTCGGACCCCAGCCAGGGAGTCTTGAAGGACCAACACAAGCCAGCCCTTTGCAGCTTTCTTTCATACCCCGACACCATGTCATACATTGACCACCTTTACGCTTTTTCCAACCAGTCCCAGAGTCGGCAAATAGTGCACGACGTGGAGTTCTCTGGGACGACATTCGTAGAACATGTCCAAGCCACCGAAGTCGGTGTTTCAAGATGGTGACACCAATTGAGTTATGTCCTGTCTATTAATTACTATCTCCCTCAGTCACAGCCACATTTGGCTAATTCTTATGCAAATGTTGTTTCATATTTTATGGTACGATGTGGTCTGTCTGGTTGGTATATAAACCCGGTATGCTTGAAATAAATGATTCATATTGCCGAGGCTGAGATTGGTGTTCTGGACTTAACTGGTTGGGCTAGGCGGGAAGCAGGAGCAATCAGGACTATAGGCTGCTCGCACGTGTTTTATATATCACTGGTTCGATTGATAATTCGCTGCTCTCTGATCGGCGGTATCGGTGCGTTATACAAAAAACAGGGCACACAGGTTCACAAGTTATAACACTGACGTTGCTCTACTACCTTTTGGATTAGACGTTTGGGTCGAAGGCTCCGGGTGTGGCTCCTTAAGAAAACTACCTGCTTCGGTCTGGGCACCCGGGCAGTATCACAGTCCACATACAAATAAGTTTACTTGTGTGGCGCATATTTATTCGGTGCCTCTTTGTACCAATATTTATGTGTTCAAATAATAATAACAGTATTTTTGAAGAATTGTGGGATGTCAAAGGTGTGCCTGCATTCGATTAAATACTGAGCTATTTAGCTGTTTAGAGCTATTGCGCCCCTCAGTTTCAAATTCTTTGGAACGTGCTCGTAAATTCTAACATTTACTCATCTCTCTGTTATTCCACTGTAGGCGCTTTAGCACGTACATGTAAATTGGTAAATGTAGTTGGAGGTACTGAGAAATGAGAACTTGTCAGTTTTTGTTTGTTTGAGTGATTGAGAAGTTTGCTTCATCTAATGTCGTCAGTCTTGCTGATGGATAAGCAAACATCAACGTAGCATTTATCCTGTGGTTAATTATCCCAGTGATTACATCTTTTTTGAAGCGCAGACATAAGAAGCGGGTTTCACTTTACCACCGTATCACATTTAACATGTACGCTGGTTCTGGCATACTTCTCGACGAATTTCACTGGATCTGCATTTTCATGTAGGCAAGTTGTAATGAAGGTAAATTCTTCTTCCAGACTTTCTTTTGAGCAAGGTTTACGAGCTCAGTCAAAAAGGGTTCGTACAATCCCCATTTTTTAACTTACGGGACAAAAGCTGTTATAATTTAGATAAACTCCACTCCACGTATTTTTGCGGTGGATGTATCTTTGTAGTGTGCTGTTTGAAGTTCGTTTGATTTTAATATCTGAGAAATAGAATTTACCTTCAACTTCATGTTCCATAGTAAAATCTATATCATTGTGTCCTTTGTTAAACAGGCTGAGTATGTAAATAGAACGCTTCTGATTATTGCAGATAAGAAGTGTGTCATTAATATATCTACGACAGAGTATAGTTATATTCTAATGCATATATGGTTGTAAGCAACTAATGAGTAACCATGAAATATCACGAATTCATATTATTCCGCCTCAATTGTTATCTTTGTTTTATTCAAATTTCTATTTAATTAAATTCCAAACAGTATGAAATCAGGACGTATGATGAAACATTATTTATTAGACAAACTATGCCTACAGTATATCTGAATTGCTTACAATTTTACTCAATTCTGTTTCGTTAGATGATTTGGATGTTGTACTACTCCATTTTTCAGCTAAATGTCGAGATCCATACAAGCTATCACTATGTGTCCATATCTTGAATGCTTCTTCTCCATCAAAAAATATCAGCTTCAAACCAATATCAGATTTCTATGAATAGAAAGAAGTGATTATCAAATAAATGCTGTGCATAATCAATTTAGGATTATTCAGTAGTATAAATACCTGATTTTTTCCTAAATACTACATAATTTCAAAGATTTGTAAGGATTATTTTCCCTTTAAATAAAGATATTACTAATTTCGATAATGTAATAAGAAGACGAAGATTATCAGGACCATGCGATGATATATTAGCGCAATACATTTCGAACAGTCTGATCACACATAATACACTAGTTAAGGACATTTATATATAAAAAATAAAAGGTCAACTAAACAGGAAACGGGGTAAGAGGAGATAAGGATAATGATAAGAGTAATAATAATAATAATAATAATAATAATAATAATAATAATAATAATAATAATAATAATATTAATAATAATAATAATAATGTGAACACAATTTGAAACCTAATCACTCTGGATAATAAGCCGATATTACCAGGGTAGGTTTAAGGTGAGAACAAACTGTATTTAAATACACAAAGGGGGTTTGAATTTTCGTATGGCTAAGGCTTCGATAAGCCTTATTATACGCCCTTTTACACTTTTATACAACACCACAAAAGCCGAACTTAGATCAATCTTATGTTTTTTTATCAAAAGGGGTTTTGTGGAGATTTTTAGAAATTTCAGTAGTTGAAATTACGAGTCAATTGAAGCTAGACCACCATGGAAGACCTGGAAGCACTGGATGGCCGTTTCGTCATAGTATGGGACTCCTCAGTAGTGTGCACCCACGATCCCGCACCCCGCGACATTCGAACCCAGGACCTATCAGTCTCGCGCGCGAGCGCTTAACCATTAGACCACTGAGCCGGCATCCAAAGGTGTTAATATCTAGCTTCAACCAATCCACGAATTTGCGCCATCGTACACCATTGTCTTCAGTGAGTTAGTATCTCACAACAGACCTGGTTGAACTCCACTGGTCACTGCTTCTCACTAGAACTCCAGGAAATGCCTCTTGAAGTCAGTCACCAGTGAGCAGATGATTATTATCAGAAGGGGTTTTGTAGAGATTTAGACATTAACACCGTTGGATGCCGGCTCAGTGGTCCAATCTTATATTTAGCAATAGAGGATGATGGATGTTTATCCTCTGCTCTTGTTGAGTCACTTGATTGTATCTGTTTCTGCAACCATTTTGGTAAATGTTCACACACTAATTTTGAAATCACGATTGCTTCTCCCTATGTATGTGTGACCACACATATATTTAAATTGGTAAACACAGTGGAATGTGACACAATCGTTTTCATATCTTTTGGGTTTTGGATGAAGCATGCACCTTGTTCTTTCTTTGATAATGACCTTTGCTGTGTATATTACTAATTTATCTACAGATAATTAAATCATTCAATAACAAAATGTAATCAGCCATTCGATTGGTCTGATATACTAATTCACATCATCAGAAAGAAATCTTAAAGTAAAAGAAGCGAAAATCAAAAGGATTAAAGAAAAAACAGTGTGATGAACGAAGATTTGGTTAATGAAATCAACTAGTTGTATAGAGCAAAATCACACACTTCATTTGTAAAATATAAAAATAATACATTGAATACACCATTTACACATTTTTTGAATCGTCTATTACAAGCTCCATCGTTCTTTTATTCTTGTTGTTACTTGGACTGTTTCTGTTTTCCTTTTACTTCTGTCAGCAAGAATTTTACTTACGATTATTGATACATGCATCTGTTCGTATAGGTAGCACACATTACAATAGTAAGAGATTAAACTAGACAGTGAAAAGTATGGAATGATATTGGACCCTCAATATATAGTGCAATATAAATAGTGTATCTATTTATATGACCGAGATAGATTTTAAGTCATATAATCTAAGGTGTGTGTGATCATTAACAACTTCAACTAGAAAGTCTGTCCCCTAACAGATGTCCCAATCCAACAGTCAATAACTTGGGGATTCAGAACATGTGATGAACCAATTGTCGTTAGTCTTTTCTTCAGTCCACTCTCATGGTAGCTGCCATTGCATGCTGGGGCAGGTTGTGGTCAAATGTAATATATTTCAGCCACCTTAGTTAATGAAGGTGTACAACATCTTCAACTAATTTATTTTTACTTAGTACTTTGCTTCTGATTATGATGTTACTCATTGTATGATTTCAACGTATGTGAGGAATATTTCAAAGAAGAACAAGTCTTACATAAGATCAAAAGGGATCTAAATATTTGGAAATTTCAACAGTTGAAATCATGAGTCAATTGAAGCTAGACCACCATGGAAAACTTGGAAGCACTGGACGGCCGTTTCGTCCTGGTATGGGACTCACCAGCAGTGCGCATCCATGACTCCGCCCCGCGGGATTCGAACCCGGGACGCCAGGCGCTTAACCAACTGGACTACTGAGCCGGATTTCGAAATTATAAACTTGATATTTTTTTATATGAAATCCACAAAAGTACACACACTGACTGCATTTTCACTGGAATATTTAATTCTAATTTGAAGCATTAATTAATTTTTGATGAGATAATATAATCTGTCAATATAAACAGTCCATTTGAAATAAATTTTATATATAAGAAATTCTAGAGATGTTATGATGAATTGGGGTAAATGAATATAGGTTACTTCGTGACGTGTCAATTGTTACTTACTATGTAACCCGACTATACTATCTTCATTAAATACTTTTTATTACTAAACCCAGTCTTCTAAAAACCATTTAGCTGAGGAGTTCCGATATCCATTAATCAGTAAAGTGATGATAAGCTGAGAGTTGTAGCTCAGATGGATGATTTCGATGAAGTTTCATTCTCTTCAGACAGAAGTTTGTGTTGATGTTGTTCAGACGAATAATAAATGGCGTAACCAAAAAGTAACTACGTCGAATAGTACAACAAAGATTGTCATTTTCTAGTGCTTTCTCTCAGCTAGGTATTTTAATCGAAAAACTTTGATTGTCGTTCTGAACAGTATTATCAGTGCTTACTTCAAACAGGGATAAGGTCTTCAAAACTATCCCACTTTCTCCGAATCACTTCTATCCTAGCGATCTTGTTTATGATTAGTTGTCTTGGTAGGCTTTTTTAAGATTTTAATTTACTTTCATATTCTGATTAAGTGATTTGTTAGTCTGAACACTGACGATGTTATTGATCGATTTTATGGGTAGACCAGATTTATGTCAACACGTCTGCTGATTACAGATTGACTTGAATTCCATTCTTCGATAAATTTTATAGCATTTCTGCGATCTCCACGATAAATTTTGATATTTATTCAATAAATTTTAGGTCTGTAGTTGACAATATTCATTTACATAAGTGATGATAGCTGTAACTGCTTATCATCTAATCCAACGCCTTTTATAGATCATGAAACAGGTCTTTTGAATAATGTAGGACATATTTAATTATTGCGTCCTTTGATCAGAGTAAAGTAAAATGAAGTATTTGTGTCGATTTTCAAGAAAACCATTTTTAGGTTAACAAGCCCTAGTGGTTAATTCGGAGGTATTTTTTATATTTAAGAAAATGATTCGTTACTGGGTTTCTAAAGATGATTTTGGGGTTGTAGGCTAATTTTTTGACATCCTTATATGAAGTTGTGAAGTTATTCTTCCAAAAATGATATTGGCAGAATTATGAAATTGTTAATATCTGGATAAACCTGGAAGTGGATGCTCACTGCTGAGGAGTCCCATACCAGGACGAAACGGCCGTCCAGTGATTCCAGGTTTTCCATGGTGGTCTAGCTTCAATTGACTCATGATTTTAACCAGTGAATTTCTAAACCTGGAAGTATCAAATTAGGCCAAAAAATCACTAGAAGAATACGTCAGTACCAATATTAAAGTGTTTCAGTCACCTGTTATATTTGTTAAGAGATTATTTATCTTTATAGACAATACTGGCTGATAAAAGTAAACGATTCTCAAGAGTTTTACTTGTATCTTTTGGAATTTGATTGACCGTAAGTGCAAAACGTTTTCGTCAATCCTATATTTTATTTCATAAACTGAACTACTTTTATTAGTCTGTTAAGGTTTATATAATTAAGGTGTGTATCATGAAAAACTCTGTTAGCAACTCCTGACTAAGTGTAATTGGATTACAAGTATAAATTTGACGGTTTCTAAGTAAAAATTTTATATATTGCTGATTAAAATATTATTTCTCACGCTTTATTTTAAACAACATCTCGGTTATATTGTCGAAAAAAGTAACTAATGTTTTATCTGGCTTAAATTAACAAAAAAATTATAATAATCACAAAAAGTAAACAAAGAAATGGCTCCATACCTTCAATGCTTTAATCCCATAATTTAGTAGGTCGACAATTTTCAAAATCATTGAACAAGGCATTGCTGAATCTGTTGATCCAACAAAATTAGGAAGAAGTTTTGATTCATAATGACAAGCCAAAATCAAATATTTCTTATAGTTTGGGTCGTTTCTGTAACCAATAATGTTGTGAAATGTTTTAACACCATCCACTGTATTTTCTTCAAAAGTATCCAAATCAGTTTCCCAATCGCACTTGCTTAGATAATTTCTAATAAACTTCATTTAAAGTAGTTAAACTTGTGTTAATACGCTTACTTCTCTGACTTGAAGGTGACCAGGGCTACCAACATTACGAATGATATTGATTTTGTTAAAAATTTGTTCCAAACTATTTTTTACCGAACGATTCCTAAGTCTTGTAAGCATATAATCTGGTGTCAGTTCCTGGTGTATGATATCACCCTATATTAACAGAAAATATCAACATTATCTCTCGGATACTAGCTATGTCTTTGTAAATTATCTAAATTTATTCAAGTTAAAAGGAACAGAAAATCAAAAAATAATCCGGAAAATAAATACCTCAATCAGACTGTCGTGATATATTTAGAATTTATATTATAAAACTATACCCATTACATCATAGTTTGACTGAAATGCAAATGTTTTATGAGTGACAAACTTTCCATTCGAACATTTCCTTCCGACAAATGGACAATCAAAATGATCTTACATAATAATCACACGTGCGCGGAAACCTGGGTCAGATCACATTTGTGCTAGGCTCTATATTAATGATGGCAGTTTATTTATTTATTTTAACACACAGATATTGGTACAAGGAGGCACCAAATATATATGCGCCACACAAATCTCATTTGATATATGTGAGGGCTGTGATACTGCCTGGGTACCCAAACCGAAGCAGGTGGTTTTCTTATGGGCTATAACCGGAGCCTTCGACCTGAAGGTCTGATCCACAAGACAATGGAGCATCGTAAGGAGATGCATCCCCATGGTAGCCGGTGACCAACGATTGGTTCATACGCCATTTGTTCCTTCAGGATACTAGGTCGCATGTGCACCATTGGTTTGGAATGAGGGTTTTCCAACTCCCCTAGGTGAACTCACCGTGTCCACCAGCCCGGTTGAAGCGCCGGACATTCGCTTTTCTTCCTCTCAATTTCATAAACAACACCCCCGTTACGAGAAGGCAGTGAGTAGGACTTCTCTGGCAGAGGCTATATACGTGTGGCCATGTGAGAGCATTTTGAGAGGGAGAGCGGACTCTTTCCACTCTCGGTCGTACCAGGGCATTTGGGGGCAATGTTGGCAGTAAGCACGTCTAGTTTATTTATACAACCAAATTTTCAGGAAAAAAATACAATAAATGAGAAATGCATTGGAGGCTGTTAGACCTACAAATCAAGCGGGACATTGGTCGCTAATCGAAGTTCACCAGTTGCAATGAAATACACAGTAGTAACCAATGAGTCGGAACTAAAACTTGTAATATGATAATGCAATAGTGTTGCGAAGTAACTCCTTGATCAAGTCGTGGCCAGAGAAAATGGACCGTTTTGAGTGTGAGACAGTTACCCCCCACCCCAAAAAAAAAACAATAGAAGACGGTCACGCAATGTCATGGATTGATCGAAGTTGAAAATTAACACCTTTAGATGCCGACTCAGTGATCTAGAGATTAAGCGTTCGTGCGCGAGTCCGAAGGCCCTGGGTTCAATTCCAGAGTGGGGAGTCGTGGATGCGAACGGATGAGGATTCTTATACCAGGTGATCTAACTTCGATAGGTTCATGATTTCTATGAAATACTTAATGGTAGCCAATTCAAAAGGTGTGAGGTTTTCTATTATAATACGTTCATCAAATTTTCACAATTGTTATTTATTAGTCTACTTTTGAGAAAAACGAAACAGAATATCTAAGTGCGATAAATAAAATGATGTGAGTCATCATAAAACGTCAAGATTTATGAAGTGAAGTTATCTAAATATTTTTAAAGATTGAGAGTAACTCATAAATACACAACATTGTGTTTTGGCCATAAGAAAGAGATAGTTTATCGCTTATTAACCTTCTAGTGAGGGACCACAGAACTATTTATTTCCTCTACGTATCGAAAAACGAAAATGCTCTACCATAAGTGGTAGAACAGTTTATGTTATAAACCAATATCGTCTTGAAGTTATGTTCCAGTACAAATTACGAGTGTTGAAAGCTACTCCCAGTTAAATGTACAATAGATTTCCTCACTGTCTGGACAAATCACATGACAAATCGAATCTACATCAAAGTCAGTCAGTAACAACGTAGAAATTCGTACGTACGTACATCAGTTCGAGTTGCCACACCACATTAGCACAGAGATGCAGTGGTCGATTCAAATCCCGTAGTGGTAGAGGTAATAAGAGTATAAGCAGTTATCGGGAAAATCAGTGTTTGGAGATGTTACTTAAAGAGTATAATCCAGTGAAATAAATTTGGAAAGAGAAAAAAGAAAGGGACATGAAGAATTCAGAAGATTAGAACTTGGGAGAACACAAAGAGAGTATGCACCTGCGCCATTGCAAACGATTTTGAGCCATGTCATTCATGGTCTCTAACCATCGGTTGCTATCATCTCGCGGTCCCCAACCAGGTAGTCTACACCTACCAACATAACTCAGTCCACTTGTCAGTGACTTCATGGACTTGTGCCATGGTTTGGTCTGGCCGCCCATACCTTTCTTCCAACCTACTCCTATACCATAAAACATTGCACGTCGGGGCAGTCGGTGGTGGTTGGGGAAATTAATGCTATGTGTGGTATTCAAACCCACATAATCCAGATTCGCAATCTGATACTTTAACACTGAGCTATTGAGGCTGAAGAGTGTCAGCTAACACAAAACTTGGGCATACGTAACACGTGTCCCAGCCATCTCAACTGGTGAAGTTTCACTACTCCATCAATTGATTTGCCATCCTTACCTAGTACCCGTTTTCTAACAACTGTGTTACTTACTCGATGGTCCCATGATATATGAGCAATGTTTCGAAGACACCTATGATCGAATAATAGCAACCTACGGAAATCCTCTACTCTTATCGGCCATGTTTCACTGCCATAAAGCAGGACGGAACGAACTGCTGCGCAGTAAACACGTCCTTTGGTTGACAGACGGGTATCTCGCCTACGCCATAAATGACGCAAGTTGGCAAAAGCTAATCGAGCCTTCTGTATCCGTGCTGAGATTTCGTCACACACCAAACCACAAGGGCTGATGAGACTTCCAAGATAAGTGAAGCGGTCGACACACTCAACTACTTCACTCCCTATCACTAGTTCGGGTGTCGATGTAACCCAACCCTGAAGCAACATTTTGCATTTCGAGGGAGAGAATCGCATCCCGAACATGCATGCATTGTTGCTTAGAGTGGTCAGAAGACTCTGCATTTTGTCAGCGTCTTCACTAAATAAAGCTATGTCAGCAAGTGGGTCTCCCGGTAACAGTTCAACCCCTTGGAAATTCGGATGAGGAAAGTGTTATCTCTAAAAGTACGTCGATGACAAAGTTAAACAAGAATGGAGAGAGTGGACAGCCCTGACGAACACCACTTGAGGTAATCAATTCTGATGACAGTTCACCATAAGCTCTCACTCTACCAGTTGTGTTCGAGTAGAGAGCCTTTATAAGGTTAATGTACTTCTTTGGTACTCCTTTCAGTGACAAACACTGCCATAGAACCTCACGATCAACGGAGTCGAATGCCACCTTAAGGTCGAGGGCGTCTGAATGTGTGTCTGTGTTCTAGAACCTGACGTAGTGTGAATATCTGATCGATACAACCACGTCCAGGTCGAAAACCGGCCTGGTTTTCTCTAATCTTCTCTTCACGAGCTTTGATTAGACGTCGAAGTATTATTGAAGCTAATATTTTAGATACTATATTTGTCAAACTGATTCCTCTGTGATTGTCACAAGAGGACTTTCGTCCTTTCTTATAGACTGGCACAATCAGTGATTGAGACCAGTCAGATGGGATTACGTCCAGTTCCCAGATCCTACCTAAGACCTCAGTCAATCTCGCTGCTAATACTGGACCACCATCCTTAAAAAACTCAGGAGTAAACCTGTCAGGGCCTGCTGCTCTCCCTCGTTTCAGATTTCCTACGGCTTTTTCAAATTCGTAAGGAGACGGAGGACCTACACTAACTTGACATTCAGGTTGACTAGAGATCGTGGGAAACCGAAGTGTGGCTGAAGGCCAGTTGAACTGATCCCTAAAGTGTTCTGCCCATCGATCCAATCTCCTGGATTGAGAATTTATAATATGTCCATCTCTCTCTGAGACTGTCACGCTAACAGTCGGGTTCCTAATACCGGTTTCCTAACGAGTCTGAACAATTGTCTGCTATTACCTATTACCGCTGCTTTTTCCATCTCTCTTGCTTTCGCTACCCACCACTGTTCACGATCATTGCGTAGAATTCTTGTCAGCTTGCGCTTAAGCTGACGCCACTCTTCGTTATTTTCATATCCAGATGGGATGAGTTTTCGAGCATCTATCAGTGAGGTAGATGCTGCTGAAATCCAGTGTTGCTCCCTAACCTTGTGGTTTACCTTACTAGCAGATATCACTGTTGTTTCCACAGCTTTTCGGATATCATTCCATGCTGCCACTGGATGGGCATCACATACATGGCTGCTTAACTGTTTTCCTAGTTGTTCCTGAAATATACTCTTAGTTTGACTATCAATAAACAGGACCCTAAGAGGTTTACTTGCAGTGTCTTTCCTACGTCCAGTAAGACGCAGACAGATACGTGGTCGTACTAGAGCATGATCTGAATCTAAGCATGTGCTCCAGAATGAGCGATAGTCTTCTATCGAGCCCCTCCATCGGTGGCTGATAGCGATGTGATCTATTTGGGTCCAACGTTGGGACGAATTAGGAGGTCGCCATGTTAAAAGATGTTTTCCCTTGTGCTTAAAGTTAGTATTTGCAAGGAACAGGCAGTTATCTGAGCATAGCTGCAAAAGATGGTCGCCATAGAGAAATGATGTTGTAGACGCCAAATGAACCAGTCAAGCAGTTTAGATAGGAGGCAATGATTGGGATTGGAACTCATGGGGAATCACAATCTAAATATTTTTTAGCCGTATTTAGCATAAAATATTTAGTTGAGTAACTCCTCCCGTAGCTGTTCTAGGGTTACTCCCGGTCCCAAGTCCGGGTAAAGGAGGAGGGTTGGGCATGGGTTCAGCAACTCCATCAAGTAGAAAGCATCCTTACTTGAAAAACGCTAACCAGAATACACAATTTAAACTCTGCCCTCTGAGTTGAAGGAAGAATTGTGGCGCCTCATGATGAAAGCCGAGATTCTTCGGAAGTCATGAGGCCGATGCCCCTTCTAGCAATTCTTATAGGTACGTAGAACGTCCGCACAACATGGGAGATC